AGCTATGTGGTTCCAAAGTTTTACACAGAGAACATCACCTGTTACTAGTTCAGTAATATAAATATTTTGTATATTAATAATGCTGTTTGTTCAGCATTTTTCGGTCATTTGATTTTGCATTTTGCACTTCCTCCCAGGATATTTTTTTGGTCAAAATATGAAGTATTGGTGCAGTTTGAGGGTGTTTTGTTTTTTTGATTCCTGGTTTTTTTGTTTTTTGTTTGGGGTATTTTTGGTGTATGTATGTTTATGTACGTGTGTGGGTATGTGTGTATACAGTGGAGAGCAAATTGGAAAACAGTTCTATTTATCCTCCTCCCTCCCCAGTAGAAATAAAAAAAAAATCTTTACATTTGTTACTTTTCTTTTCCCCCATAAGGCACAGAATTAATGGAAATTGAGTGTCTTGGATTTCAGATCTGAAGAGATTTTTACCATTAGTGGTTTGATTTTAATTTGCTTGGTTAACTATCATATTTTTCATATACTTCTCTGGGTTTAAAATGTCTTGGAGGTATTTTGCCACTGGCTTCATGCTGGAGTAATGGGTAACATATCTTTGGTATGATTACCTTAGATTCACTTACCTAGCCAGACCCAGAAGAACTTCTCTTACTAGCTTGCTTCCTAAATGCCTTTTTCCCTCTCCTTTTGGTCTCCAAATGGCCTGGTCAGCTTTTGGTAATATTCTTCCTCATCTTCCACCTAGCTTGAGAAGGATGTTCTCCATATAGAGTTAAGCGAGTGCCTAATCCCTCCTTTTGTAAGATTTTGTTCCCTCATCTTGAGGAACAACAACTTCATCTTCAACTTTTTATTTCCCCCCAATTTTACAGTTCGGTAGATTTCAAACTGGAATAGCTAGCATGTGCTTGCTAAATAATTTTATGCCAGCCTTATCCTGTATCCTAGCTGTTCTTAATAGCAGGTACAAAAATGCCTCTTTTTCAGCAAGGTTGAAATTGGGAATGTCCTTTTGAATCAGAAGAAAATAGGCCATAGACTCATCCGCCAGCACAAATGGGCATTCTATGAAATGGTACTGGCCCTAGGAGGATTTCCTCAACCACTCTCCTACTCTTGGCCTTGAACCTACCTCTGGGTTGGATCTTACTATTGTAGCTGCTCACTATACCCTCCTGCATGCTTAGAATAATGCTTTGGGGGGAGCACTGGTAAAACACAGTATTTATTTTTTTACCTCCTTTAAGAGGACTTGGAGGTAAGTTGCATTCATTCACTCAAGTTTCACTCTTGCTGTCTAATAGAAGCTTACGTTTTGCTATATCAGCATTTGTTACAGCAAATATTTAAGGATAAAGCTTAGAAAATATATCATTTCCTGGCCCATCATCAAACTAATACAGCTTAACCTTGCAGCTACCAACTTTTGTGTCAAGCTGGATATCTTTATTTGATATCTAAGGTGCAAGACCAACAATATATTAAGAGATCTATAGACATGAAGGCAA